CGCGTGTTAGGCGAACGTGATGACCACTACACTACAGAAACCTCATGATGTGTCACATGTGCTTTTTTCGAAGATGGCTCCATCCCATAATCTTTCCTGCAAGCAATGTGACAATCTGTGTAAATTCCACAAACAACAGATAAGAGCTCATTCGGAATGGCAGTCTGCCTACAGCTCCTTGGTACGATGGCCTTCACCTATTTCAAAAGCGTACGCTTGTTCAAAAGCGACTGAAACAATAGACTGCCCAGTGTTCTTAAAATGGCAAAAAGCTGCTATTTTTGGTGGCAGACGAAACATTCTTTATTACTCTACAGGAAACCTCAATGGTCATTTGTTTTGTTTTAGTCCTTTTCTAAAGAGTTTACACCGCAAATCGCCCTGCAAGTGTACTGACCTGCTCATCAGAAAACCACATAAGAAATTTTAGCAACTACCACCCACAGTTTCCGCCCAGTTTCGAACTGGGGACCTTTCGCGTGTGAGGCGAACGTGATAACCACTACACTACGGAAACATGTCTTCTGGGTGCATACAGAAATCTTCTGGTGCACGCTTGTTAAAAAGTGTATAAAGGAAAAGTGAGCTGAACCCTCCTATTGTGGCAAACAGTTTAAATTTTCTGTCAAAACCCGACTGCTGTTTCTGCTCGGTTTCGAACCGAGGACCTTTCGCGTGTTAGGCGAACGTGATGACCACTACACTACAGAAACCTCATGATGTGTCACATGTGCTTTTTTCGAAGATGGCTCCATCCCATAATCTTTCCTGCAAGCAATGTGACAATCTGTGTAAATTCCACAAACAACAGATAAGAGCTCATTCGGAATGGCAGTCTGCCTACAGCTCCTTGGTACGATGGCCTTCACCTATTTCAAAAGTCCAAGGACTTTGTAGCGAATTTCAGCACATATATTAAAAACGGCTTCACTTGTCTCCGCCCAGTTTCGAACTGAGGACCTTTCGCGTGTAAAGCGAACGTGATAACCACTACACTACGGAAACGTGATTTGAAAAACAGTCCGACCTCTTCTAGCGTACGCTTGTTCAAAAGCGACTGAAACAATAGACTGCCCAGTGTTCTTAAAATGGCAAAAAGCTGCTATTTTTGGTGGCAGACGAAACTTCTTTATTACTCTACAGGAAACCTCAATGGTCATTTGTTTTGTTTTAGTCCTTTTCTAAAGAGTTTACACCGCAAATCGCCCTGCAAGTGTACTGACCTGCTCAACAGAAAACCACATAAGAAATTTTTGCAACTACCACCCACAGTTTCCGCCCAGTTTCGAACTGGGGACCTTTCGCGTGTGAGGCGAACGTGATAACCACTACACTACGGAAACATGTCTTCTGGGCGCATACAGAAATCTTCTGGTGCACGCTTGTTAAAAAGTGTATAAAGGAAAAGTGAGCTGAACCCTCCTATTGTGGCAAACAGTTTAAATTTTCTGTCAAAACCCAACTGCTGTTTCTGCTCGGTTTCGAACCGAGGACCTTTCACGTGTTAGGCAAACGTGATGACCACTACACTACAGAAACCTCATGTTGTGTCACATGTGCTTTTTTCGAAGATGGCTCCATCCCATAATCTTTCCTGCAAGCAATGTGACAATATGTGTAAATTCCACAAACAACAGATAAGAGCTCATTCGGAATGGCAGTCTGCCTACAGCTCCTTGGTACGATGGCCTTCACCTATTTCAAAAGCGTACGCTTGTTCAAAAGCGACTGAAACAATAGACTGCCCAGTGTTCTTAAAATGGCAAAAAGCTGCTATTTTTGGTGGCAGACGAAACATTCTTTATTACTCTACAGGAAACATCAATGGTCATTTGTTTTGTTTTAGTCCTTTTCTAAAGAGTTTACACCGCAAATCGCCCTGCAAGTGTACTGACCTGCTCAACAGAAAACCACATAAGAAATTTTAGCAACTACCACCCACAGTTTCCGCCCAGTTTCGAACTGGGGACCTTTCGCGTGTGAGGCGAACGTGATAACCACTACACTACGAAAACGTGTCTTCTGAGCGCATACAGAAATCTTCTGGTGCACGCTTGTTAAAAAGTGTATAAAGGAAAAGTGAGCTGAACCCTCCTATTGTGGCAAACAGTTTAAATTTTCTGTCAAAACCCGACTGCTGTTTCTGCTCGGTTTCGAACCGAGGACCTTTCGCGTGTTAGGCGAACGTGATGACCACTACACTACTGAAACCTCATGATGTGTCACATGTGCTTTTTCGAAGATGGCTCCATCCCATAATCTTTCCTGCAAGCAATGTGACAATCTGTGTAAATTCCACAAACAACAGATAAGAGCTCATTCGGAATGGCAGTCTGCCTACAGCTCCTTGGTACGATGGCCTTCACCTATTTCAAAAGCGACTGAAACAATAGACTGCCCAGTGTTCTTAAAATGGCAAAAAGCTGCTATTTTTGGTGGCAGACGAAACATTCTTTATTACTCTACAGGAAACCTCAATGGTCATTTGTTTTGTTTTAGTCCTTTTCTAAAGAGTTTACACCGCAAATCGCCCTGCAAGTGTACTGACCTGCTCAACAGAAAACCACATAAGAAATTTTAGCAACTACCACCCACAGTTTCCACCCAGTTTCGAACTGGGGACCTTTCACGTGTGAGGCGAACGTGATAACCACTACACTACGGAAACATGTCTTCTGGGTGCATACAGAAATCTTCTGGTGCACGCTTATTAAAAAGTGTATAAAGGAAAATTGAGCTGAACCCTCCTATTGTGGCAAACAGTTTAAATTTTCTGTCAAAACCCAACAGCTGTTTCTGCTCGGTTTCGAACCGAGGACCTTTCACGTGTTAGGCAAACGTGATAACCACTACACTACAGAAACCTCATGTTGTGTCACATGTGCTTTTCGAAGATGGCTCCATCCCATAATCTTTCCTGCAAGCAATGTGACAATATGTGTAAATTCCACAAACAACAGATAAGAGCTCATTCGGAATGGCAGTCTGCCTACAGCTCCTTGGTACGATGGCCTTCACCTATTTCAAAAGCGTACGCTTGTTCAAAAGCGACTGAAACAATAGACTGCCCAGTGTTCTTAAAATGGCAAAAAGCTGCTATTTTTGGTGGCAGACGAAACATTCTATATAGAGAATGAGTTTTTAGCCGGACAAAATCCCCTTGCCTTTCCTGATGAAAGATACAGATTTTCGCGGAAGGAATATCTTATCTTTGCGAACTTCATGAGCCGCACATAAATAATTTAACACGTCGAATTCATGTACTTACTGTACCATAAATGGTATTGCGTTGCGTTTTTTTTGCAAGTGGTAGCCTACATACTTGCACGATTGGTGATGCACAGAATCTAGGGGAAAACACGGTTTGTCGAACCATTCGCAAGGTGGTCCTCGCTCTGCAGGAGTACATTAATAGTTTAATAGTGTTCCCCAGACATTTATTGACCATGTCCATAAGAGAGGGTTTTTATAAAATTGCCGGTAAGATATATTGATAGGGTGACATCACGTTTTTTTTTTTTCTTTCAAAAAGCAAATTTCACAAATGTACTATACAATACAGTAAATGTTAAGCATTATTTTAAATCTTTTTTTTATTTTATTCGGTTAATCTTATGATAGGATTCCCTATAGAGTCATTGGAGCAATAGCCTGCACACATGTTGCAATCTCCACTTCTCTAGGAGAACATCAGGCAGATTATGTTAATAGAAAGTCTTTTCACAGCCTTATGTTCAGGTAGAGATTATGTGAACATGTGAAATTATTATTTTCTGTGAGATGAATCTTTAAATTAATAGTAAAATTAACAGATAACAATCTACTTTCCATGAGTATGTTGTGTCAGCGCTTTGAGGAAAGCTAGTTAAATTTGGTACAGTACAAAACACTGTTAATTTGAATTGGGACAGCAAAACCTACACAATAACCCCCTATCATGACCCTCATGTGTCAGTTAAACCATAGTAAAAGTTAGAGATGATCTTTGGCATCCTAAAGGCACGTTTCAACTGTCTTCGGCGCTTAAGAGTCACCAGAGTGGGCATCACAGATAGTGTCTGCATGTGCCATTCTGCACAATATAGCCACCATAGAAAGGAGCCAGAACACCACAGAAAGCTTCTCCCCGATGAAACTGACCCGAACACACTTGACCACCCAGCTGGTGCAAATGTAGTTGCAATCACCATACAATATTACACTTAATAAAAGCACATTGAAACTGCAGACAGGTCTCAAACTGTTTTATTGGTTTTGTGGGATGGGGGGGAAGAGAGCAATAGAAAGTTGCATTAATAAATATTCATGCTAAAGTGTTACTTGGTTAAATAAGTTCACATGCTGAGATCAGTTTAATCCAGCTGTTGCATTTATTTTTTAAATGTGGAGCCTCCTCAGCTCACAGTCAGGCTCCTTTAGTGTGCAGTCTAGCTCTATAGGCTCCTTTAGTGTGCAGTCTAGCTCTATAGGCTCCTTTAGTGTGCAGTCTAGCTCTATAGGCTCCTTTAGTGTGTAGTCTAGCTCTATAGGCTCCTTTAGTGTGCAGTCTAGCTCCATAGGCTCCTTTAGTGTGCAGTCTAGCTCCATAGGCTCCTTTAGTGTGCAGTCTAGCTCCATAGGCTCCTTTAGTGTGCAGTCTAGCTTCATAGGCTCCTTTAGTGTGCAATCTAGCTCCATAGGCTCCTTTTGTAAAGGGCCCTGACTGAGTCTGTTTCCACCTGAAAAATAATTCCACCACAAACATGATCATTACAAGTTTTCTGGAGGTTGATCAAATCACAAAAAGTGGCATGACTATCTACAAACATAGGACTGACTGTAATTTATGTCAAGGGTTTAAAGCATTACCTTGTTCACATTCCTTCTGTAGCCCATTGAGGTAGAGGCTTCAGTTTCTGGGGCAGGTTGTGAAAAATCCTACAATAAAAGAGATGTGTAAGGGCCAGTCACTTAATTATGACATTCAAATGTGTGCCGTAATAAAAAGCCCAGTGCATTCACCTCAGCAACTGTCTCAGAACACACAGACAGAGTGTCTTCATCATTTGGTTCACCCTAATAAATAAAAGGCAAATATAAAGCATAACTGTTATAAAGCAGGCTATGTTCATGGTGTTCTGTCTGCTGCATATACTGACCTCTGTGTGGGAGACTGTGTGCATGTGTGCTGGCTTCAACAGGGACACTGTATTTCCCTCTACTGCAGAACAGAGTCAGCCAAATTTAACCCTTTTTAAAACATTAGTAATGCATTGCACACACATACCCAGTGTTACTTGCTTCGAGGAGCCAGCACCAGGGTCAGACTGTACAGCACTTGCAATGCCATCCATAATCGGCCGTCCCTTATTATTACTCAGCGCCAACTCCTCGGCCACAGTGTAATTTTGAGGAGGTGGCCCTCCCCCAGTTTTCCTGATTTCAAATTTTTTTCTGTTTGCTGCAAACAAGTTTTTATGAATAAATGTTCACAAAAATAATAAAAGGTTGTGGTAAATACTCACCACTTTGAATTATATTTTTATATTTTGTCTTGATCTGCTGCCAAGAACGTTTGGAGTTGGGGTTGCATCTAAAAATATATGAATATCAATCTTTCTTAGGAATAGCCTATACATTCACATTTTACATACATCTACACACACGTATGTACAGTATGCATGCATGCATGTATATCAACACGAATACACACATGTTTATTTTAGCATTTAATACATTTTTAATATGATTACATCATTTTACATTAATTGTTTAACTTACGCATTAACGCAATCAGCAATCTTCCTCCAAGAATCTTCTCTTGGTTTGGCAGCAGATATAGTGTTACTGCGTGCTTGAAAAACATTTTTTTATTCTTCATATTTTTGAATAATTATCTCTTGCTCCTGCGCGGAAAAATATATAGCTCTCGCTCTATCCATTTCGAACGCGATTGGTTGTTCAGTGCCGACGTCACTCTTTTATGTGCACGCGCTCGTGGATTAATCATAAGTTAAGATCAAAGCCTGAGTTGACAGAGAAAGTTGATAAGCTGCGTCATGGTACCAATAAAGCCTGATTGCATCGGTTCGGTTTTGTCAACTCAAAACTAATCCTGTAACCCCGAGTTTGTTCAGCTACCTTCATGGTACAGGCCCCTGCAAGTGTACTGACCTGCTCAACAGAAAACCACATAAGAAATTTTAGCAAATACCACCCACAGTTTCCGCCCAGTTTCGAACTGGGGACCTTTCGCGTGTGAGGCGAACGTGATAACCACTACACTACGGGAACATGTCTTCTGGGTGCATACAGAAATCTTCTGGTGCACGCTTATTAAAAAGTGTATAAAGGAAAATTGAGCTGAACCATCCTATTGTGGCAAACAGTTTAAATTTTCTGTCAAAACCCGACTGCTGTTTCTGCCCGGTTTCGAGCCGAGGACGTTTCGCGTGTTAGGCGAATGTGATGACCACTACACTACAGAAACCTCATGATGTGTCACATGTGCTTTTTTCGAAGATGGCTCCATCCCATAATCTTTCCTGCAAGCAATGTGACAATCTGTGTAAATTCCACAAACAACAGATAAGAGCTCATTCGGAATGGCAGTCTGCCTACAGCTCCTTGGTACGATGGCCTTCACCTATTTCAAAAGTCCAAGGACTTTGTAGCGAATTTCAGCATATATATTAAAAACGGCTTCACTTGTTTCCGCCCAGTTTCGAACTGAGGACCTCTTCTAGCGTACGCTTGTTCAAAAGCGACTGAAACAATAGACTGCCCAGTGTTCTTAAAATGGCAAAAAGCTGCTATTTTTGGTGGCAGACGAAACATTCTTTATTACTCTACAGGAAACCTCAATGGTCATTTGTTTTGTTTTAGTCCTTTTCTAAAGAGTTTACACCGCAAATCGCCCTGCAAGTGTACTGACCTGCTCAACAGAAAACCACATAAGAAATTTTAGCAACTACCACCCACAGTTTCCGCCCAGTTTCGAACTGGGGACCTTTCGCGTGTGAGGCGAACGTGATAACCACTACACTACGGAAACATGTCTTCTGGGTGCATACAGAAATCTTCTGGTGCACGCTTGTTAAAAAGTGTATAAAGGAAAAGTGAGCTGAACCCTCCTATTGTGGCAAACAATTTAAATTTTCTGTCAAAACCCGACTGCTGTTTCTGCTCGGTTTCAAGCCGAGGACCTTTCGCGTATTAGGCGAACGTGATGACCACTACACTACAGAAACCTCGTGATGTGTCACATGTGCTTTTTTCGAAGATGGCTCCATCCCATAATCTTTCCTGCAAGCAATGTGACAATCTGTGTAAATTCCACAAACAACAGATAAGAGCTCATTCGGAATGGCAGTCTGCCTACAGCTCCTTGGTACGATGGCCTTCACCTATTTCAAAAGTCCAAGGACTTTGTAGCGAATTTCAGCATATATATTAAAAACGGCTTCACTTGTTTCCGCCCAGTTTCGAACTGAGGACCTTTCGCGTGTAAAGCGAACGTGATAACCACTACACTACGGAAACGTGATTTGAAAAACAGTCCGACCTCTTCTAGCGTACGCTTGTTCAAAAGCGACTGAAACAATAGACTGCCCAGTGTTCTTAAAATGGCAAAAAGCTGCTATTTTTGGTGGCATACGAAACATTCTTTATTACTCTACAGGAAACCTCAATGGTCATTTGTTTTGTTTTAGTCCTTTTCTAAAGAGTTTACACCGCAAATCGCCCTGCAAGTGTACTGACCTGCTCAACAGAAAACCACATAAGAAATTTTAGCAACTACCACCCACAGTTTCCGCCCAGTTTCGAACTGGGGACCTTTCGCGTGTGAGGCGAACGTGATAACCACTACACTACGAAAACATGTCTTCTGGGCGCATACAGAAATCTTCTGGTGCACGCTTGTTAAAAAGAGTATAAAGGAAAAGTGAGCTGAACCCTCCTATTGTGGCAAACAGTTTAAATTTTCTGTCAAAACCCGACTGCTGTTTCTGCTCGGTTTCGAACCGAGGACCTTTCGCATGTTAGGCGAACGTGATGACCACTACACTACAGAAACCTCAGGATGTGTCACATGTGCTTTTTTCGAAGATGGCTCCATCCCATAATCTTTCCTGCAAGCAATGTGACAATCTGTGTAAATTCCACAAACAACAGATAAGAGCTCATTCGGAATGGCAGTCTGCCTACAGCTCCTTGGTACGATGGCCTTCACCTATTTCAAAAGTCCAAGGACTTTGTAGCGAATTTCAGCATATATATTAAAAACGGCTTCACTTGTTTCCGCCCAGTTTCGAACTGAGGACCTTTGGCGTGTAAAGCGAACGTGATAACCACTACACTACGGAAACGTGATTTGAAAAACAGTCCGACCTCTTCTAGCGTACGCTTGTTCAAAAGCGACTGAAACAATAGACTGCCCAGTGTTCTTAAAATGGAAAAAAGCTGCTATTTTTGGTGGCAGACGAAACATTCTTTAATACTCTACAGGAAACCTCAATGGTCATTTGTTTTGTTTTAGTCCTTTTCTAAAGAGTTTACACCGCAAATCGCCCTGCAAGTGTACTGACCTGCTAAACAGAAAACCACATAAGAAATTTTAGCAACTACCACCCAAAGTTTCCGCCCAGTTTCGAACTGGGGACCTTTCGCTTGTTAGGCGAACGTGATGACCACTACACTACAGAAACCTCATGATGTGTCACATGTGCTTTTTTCGAAGATGGCTCCATCCCATAATCTTTCCTGCAAGCAATGTGACAATCTGTGTAAATTCCACAAACAACAGATAAGAGCTCATTCGGAATGGCAGTCTGCCTACAGCTCCTTGGTACGATGGCCTTCACCTATTTCAAAAGCGACTGAAACAATAGACTGCCCAGTGTTCTTAAAATGGCAAAAAGCTGCTATTTTTGGTGTCAGACAAAACATTCTTTATTACTCTACAGGAAACCTCAATGGTCATTTGTTTTGTTTTAGTCCTTTTCTAAAGAGTTTACACCGCAAATCGCCCTGCAAGTGTACTGACCTGCTCAACAGAAAACCACATAAGAAATTTTAGCAACTACCACCCACAGTTTCCGCCCAGTTTCGAACTGGGGACCTTTCGCGTGTGAGGCGAACGTGATAACCACTACACTACGGAAACATGTCTTCTGGGTGCATACAGAAATCTTCTGGTGCACGCTTGTTAAAAAGTGTATAAAGGAAAAGTGAGCTGAACCCTCCTATTGTGGCAAACAGTTTAAATTTTCTGTCAAAACCCAACTGCTGTTTCTGCTTGGTTTCGAACCGAGGACCTTTCGCGTGTTAGGCGAACGTGATGACCACTACACTACAGAAACCTCGTGATGTGTCAAATGTGCTTTTTTCGAGGATGGCTCCATCCCATAATCTTTCCTGCAAGCAATGTGACAATCTGTGTAAATTCCACAAACAACAGATAAGAGCTCATTCGGAATGGCAGTCTGCCTACAGCTCCTTGGTACGATGGCCTTCACCTATTTCAAAAGTCCAAGGACTTTGTAGCGAATTTCAGCATATATATTAAAAACGGCTTCACTTGTTTCCGCCCAGTTTCGAACTGAGGACCTTTGGCGTGTAAAGCGAACGTGATAACCACTACACTACGGAAACGTGATTTGAAAAACAGTCCGACCTCTTCTAGCGTACGCTTGTTCAAAAGCGACTGAAACAATAGACTGCCCAGTGTTCTTAAAATGGAAAAAAGCTGCTATTTTTGGTGGCAGACGAAACATTCTTTAATACTCTACAGGAAACCTCAATGGTCATTTGTTTTGTTTTAGTCCTTTTCTAAAGAGTTTACACCGCAAATCGCCCTGCAAGTGTACTGACCTGCTAAACAGAAAACCACATAAGAAATTTTAGCAACTACCACCCAAAGTTTCCGCCCAGTTTCGAACTGGGGACCTTTCGCTTGTTAGGCGAACGTGATGACCACTACACTACAGAAACCTCATGATGTGTCACATGTGCTTTTTTCGAAGATGGCTCCATCCCATAATCTTTCCTGCAAGCAATGTGACAATCTGTGTAAATTCCACAAACAACAGATAAGAGCTCATTCGGAATGGCAGTCTGCCTACAGCTCCTTGGTACGATGGCCTTCACCTATTTCAAAAGCGTACGCTTGTTCAAAAGCGACTGAAACAATAGACTGCCCAGTGTTCTTAAAATGGCAAAAAGCTGCTATTTTTGGTGGCAGACGAAACATTCTTTATTACTCTACAGGAAACCTCAATGGTCATTTGTTTTGTTTTAGTCCTTTTCTAAAGAGTTTACACCGCAAATCGCCCTGCAAGTGTACTGACCTGCTCAACAGAAAACCACATAAGAAATTTTAGCAACTACCACCCACAGTTTCCGCCCAGTTTCGAACTGGGGACCTTTCGCGTGTGAGGCGAACGTGATAACCACTACACTACGGAAACATGTCTTCTGGGTGCATACAGAAATCTTCTGGTGCACGCTTATTAAAAAGTGTATAAAGGAAAAGTGAGCTGAACCCTCCTATTGTGGCAAACAGTTTAAATTTTCTGTCAAAACCCGACTGCTGTTTCTGCCCGGTTTCGAGCCGAGGACCTTTCGCGTGTTAGGCGAATGTGATGACCACTACACTACAGAAACCTCATGATGTGTCACATGTGCTTTTTTCGAAGATGGCTCCATCCCATAATCTTTCCTGCAAGCAATGTGACAATCTGTGTAAATTCCACAAACAACAGATAAGAGCTCATTCGGAATGGCAGTCTGCCTACAGCTCCTTGGTACGATGGCCTTCACCTATTTCAAAAGTCCAAGGACTTTGTAGCGAATTTCAGCATATATATTAAAAACGGCTTCACTTGTTTCCGCCCAGTTTCGAACTGAGGACCTTTCGCGTGAAAAGGGAACGTGATAACCACTACACTACGGAAACGTGATTTGAAAAACAGTCCGACCTCTTCTAGCGTACGCTTGTTCAAAAGCGACTGAAACAATAGACTGCCCAGTGTTCTTAAAATGGCAAAAAGCTGCTATTTTTGGTGGCAGACGAAACATTCTTTATTACTCTACAGGAAACCTCAATGGTCATTTGTTTTGTTTTAGTCCTTTTCTAAAGAGTTTACACCGCAAATCGCCCTGCAAGTGTACTGACCTGCTCAACAGAAAACCACATAAGAAATTTTAGCAACTACCACCCACAGTTTCCGCCCAGTTTCAAACTGGGGACCTTTCACGTGTGAGGCGAACGTGATAACCACTACACTACGAAAACATGTCTTCTGGGCGCATACAGAAATCTTCTGGTGCACGCTTGTTAAAAAGTGTATAAAGGAAAAGTGAGCTGAACCCTCCTATTGTGGCAAACAGTTTAAATTTTCTGTCAAAACCCGACTGCTGTTTCTGCTTGGTTTCGAACCGAGGACCTTTCGCGTGTTAGGCGAACGTGATGACCACTACACTACAGAAACCTCATGATGTGTCACATGTGCTTTTTTCGAAGATGGCTCCATCCCATAATCTTTCCTGCAAGCAATGTGACAATCTGTGTAAATTCCACAAACAACAGATAAGAGCTCATTCGGAATGGCAGTCTGCCTACAGCTCCTTGGTACGATGGCCTTCACCTCTTTCAAAAGTCCTAAGGACTTTGTAGCGAATTTCAGCATATATATTAAAAACGGCTTCACTTGTATCCGCCCAGTTTCGAACTGAGGACCTTTCGCGTGTAAAGCGAACGTGATAACCACTACACTACGGAAACGTGATTTGAAAAACAGTCCGACCTCTTCTAGCGTACGCTTGTTCAAAAGCGACTGAAACAATAGACTGCCCAGTGTTCTTAAAATGGCAAAAAGCTGCTATTTTTGGTGGCAGACGAAACATTCTTTATTACTCTACAGGAAACCTCAATGGTCATTTGTTTTGTTTTAGTCCTTTTCTAAAGAGTTTACACCGCAAATCGCCCTGCAAGTGTACTGACCTGCTAAACAGAAAACCACATAAGAAATTTTAGCAACTACCACCCAAAGTTTCCGCCCAGTTTCGAACTGGGGACCTTTCGCGTGTTAGGCGAACGTGATGACCACTACACTACAGAAACCTTATGATGTGTCACATGTGCTTTTTTCGAAGATGGCTCCATCCCATAATCTTTTCTGCAAGCAATGTGACAATCTGTGTAAATTCCACAAACAACAGATAAGAGCTCATTCGGAATGGCAGTCTGCCTACAGCTCCTTGGTACGATGGCCTTCACCTATTTCAAAAGCGTACGCTTGTTCAAAAGCGACTGAAACAATAGACTGCCCAGTGTTCTTAAAATGGCAAAAAGCTGCTATTTTTGGTGGCAGACGAAACATTCTTTATTACTCTACAGGAAACCTCAATGGTCATTTGTTTTGTTTTAGTCCTTTTCTAAAGAGTTTACACCGCAAATAGCCCTGCAAGTGTACTGACCTGCTCAACAGAAAACCACATAAGAAATTTTAGCAACTACCACCCACAGTTTCCGCCCAGTTTCGAACTGGGGACCTTTCGCGTGTGAGGCGAACGTGATAACCACTACACTACGGAAACATGTCTTCTGGGTGCATACAGAAATCTTCTGGTGCACGCTTGTTAAAAAGTGTATAAAGGAAAAGTGAGCTGCACCCTCCTATTGTGGCAAACAGTTTAAATTTTCTGTCAAAACCCGACTGCTGTTTCTGCTCGGTTTCAAGCCGAGGACCTTTCGCGTGTTAGGCGAACGTGATGACTACTACACTACAGAAACCTCGTGATGTGTCACATGTGCTTTTTTCGAAGATGGCTCCATCCCATAATCTTTCCTGCAAGCAATGTGACAATCTGTGTAAATTCCACAAACAACAGATAAGAGCTCATTCGGAATGGCAGTCTGCCTACAGCTCCTTGGTACGATAGCCTTCACCTATTTCAAAAGCGACTGAAACAATAGACTGCCCAGTGTTCTTAAAATGGCAAAAAGCTGCTATTTTTGGTGGCAGACGAAACATTCTTTATTACTCTACAGGAAACCTCAATGGTCATTTGTTTTGTTTTAGTCCTTTTCCAAAGAGTTTACACCGCAAATCGCCCTGCAAGTGTACTGACCTGCTAAACAGAAAACCACATAAGAAATTTGAGCAACTACCACCCACAGTTTCCGCCCAGTTTCGAACTGGGGACCTTTCGCGTGTGAGGCGAACGTGATAACCACTACACTACGGAAACATGTCTTCTGGGTGCATACAGAAATCTTCTGGTGCACGCTTATTAAAAAGTGTATAAAGGAAAAGTGAGCTGAACCCTCCTATTGTGGCAAACAGTTTAAATTTTCTATCAAAACCCGACTGCTGTTTCTGCTTGGTTTCGAGCCGAGGACCTTTCACGTGTTAGGCGAACGTGATGACCACTACACTACAGAAACCTCATGATGTGTCACATGTGCTTTTTCGAAGATGGCTCCATCCCATAATCTTTCCTGCAAGCAATGTGACAATCTGTGTAAATTCCACAAACAACAGATAAGAGCTCATTCGGAATGGCAGTCTGCCTACAGCTCCTTGGTACGATGGCCTTCACCTATTTCAAAAGCGACTGAAACAATAGACTGCCCAGTGTTCTTAAAATGGCAAAAAGCTGCTATTTTTGGTGGCAGACGAAACATTCTTTATTACTCTACAGGAAACCTCAATGGTCATTTGTTTTAGTCCTTTTCTAAAGAGTTTACACCGCAAATCGCCCTGCAAGTGTACTGACCTGCTCAACAGAAAACCACATAAGAAATTTTAGCAACTACCACCCACAGTTTCCGCCCAGTTTCAAACTGGGGACCTTTCACGTGTGAGGCGAACGTGATAACCACTACACTACGAAAACATGTCTTCTGGGCGCATACAGAAATCTTCTGGTGCACGCTTGTTAAAAAGTGTATAAAGGAAAAGTGAGCTGAACCCTCCTATTGTGGCAAACAGTTAAAATTTTCTGTCAAAACCCGACTGCTGTTTCTGCTCGGTTTCTAACCGAGGACCTTTCGCGTGTTAGGCGAACGTGATGACCACTACACTACAGAAACCTCATGATGTGTCACATGTGCTTTTTTCGAAGATGGCTCCATCCCATAATCTTTCCTGCAAGCAATGTGACAATCTGTGTAAATTCCACAAACAACAGATAAGAGCTCATTCGGAATGGCAGTCTGCCTACAGCTCCTTGGTACGATGGCCTTCACCTATTTCAAAAGTCCAAGGACTTTGTAGCGAATTTCAGCATATATATTAAAAACGGCTTCACTTGTTTCCGCCCAGTTTCGAACTGAGGACCTTTCGCGTGTAAAGCAAACGTGATAACCACTACACTACGGAAACGTGATTTGAAAAACAGTCCGACCTCTTCTAGCGTACGCTTGTTCAAAAGCGACTGAAACAATAGACTGCCCAGTGTTCTTAAAATGGAAAAAAGCTGCTATTTTTGGTGGCAGACGAAACATTCTTTAATACTCTACAGGAAACCTCAATGGTCATTTGTTTTGTTTTAGTCCTTTTCTAAAGAGTTTACACCGCAAATCGCCCTGCAAGTGTACTGACCTGCTAAACAGAAAACCACATAAGAAATTTTAGCAACTACCACCCAAAGTTTCCGCCCAGTTTCGAACTGGGGACCTTTCGCGTGTTAGGCGAACGTGATGACCACTACACTACAGAAACCTTATGATGTGTCACATGTGCTTTTTTCGAAGATGGCTCCATCCCATAATCTTTTCTGCAAGCAATGTGACAATCTGTGTAAATTCCACAAACAACAGATAAGAGCTCATTCGGAATGGCAGTCTGCCTACAGCTCCTTGGTACGATGGCCTTCACCTATTTCAAAAGCGTACGCTTGTTCAAAAGCGACTGAAACAATAGACTGCCCAGTGTTCTTAAAATGGCAAAAAGCTGCTATTTTTGGTGGCAGACGAAACATTCTTT